CTTCTCCTCCCCGTCGGCTGTATGATTCAGCCGGTCACATAGGAAAGCATTCATAATGCTTTCCTATGGACGCTGGCGTGCTCTCACTGTGAAAATCACAATGAGAAGCACGCAAGCGCCTCTAGCGGCTGTCAATGGGACAGCCACTAGAGGAAATAGGGGAAGGCTTAACCCATTCATCAACACAGCAGTTTCTCTGAAACTGCTATGTTTATGAAAAAATGGGTTAACCCTAGCTGGACCTGGCACCCAGACCACTTCATTAAGCTGAAGTGGTCTGGGTGCCTAGAGTGGTCCTTTAAGTGTGTGTGCATCTGCATGCACTGGCGTACATACCGCGGTCGCAGGGGTCGCAGCCCTGTAACCCCTGCGACCAGGTGCCCACCGCCATATGTTGCGGCCCGGCCCGCGCGCGGGGGGGGCCCACGGATCAATTTTCGCACCGGGGCCCCATGGGTCATGTGTACGCCACTGATCCAGCTTACTAACTTCCTTCCGTGCTGTCTTTATCTTGGCTTCCAGTCATAGTCTCCATGGTGGGTATTGCTTCTCTTTGAGTCTGATCTTGGAGTCAAGTAGCTGGAGGGCCACTAATTATGCAAAGTTATGCACTTCGGCGTAAACAATGCACAAGCAACGTATACCCTTAATGGAAGTGAATTAGGGATAACAACACACGAAAAAGATTTGGGAATTGTTATAGACAACAAATTATGCAACAATGTGCAATGTCAATCAGCAGTGGCCAAGGCCAGTAAGGTATTGTCATGCATGTAAAAGGGCATTCATTCTCGGGATGAGAATATAATTTTGCCTCTTTATAAATCACTGGTAAGGCCACATATTGAATATGCTGTGCAATTTTGGGCACCTGTTATAAAGAAGGATATTATGGCACTAGAAAAAGTGCAGAGGCGGGCTACAAAATTAATAAAAGGAATGGAACATATCGGCTATGAAGAAAGGTTAACAAACTTAAACCTATTAAGTTTAGAAAAAGTCGCCTGAGAGGGGATATAATAACATTATACAAATATATTCGGGGCCAATACAAACCATTGTGTGGAAACCTATTCACAAACTGGACTTTACATAGGACACGAGGTCATGCGTTTAGACTGGAAGAAAGAAGATTTCGTCTAAGGCAATGGAAATGTTTTTTCACTGTAAGAACAATCAGGATGTGGAATTCTCAGCCTGAAGAAGTGGTTTTATCAGAGTCCATACAGATATTCAAACAACTACTAGATGCATACTTGCAAGAACAGAATATTCAAAGATATAATCTTTCAATGTATGGTAATAACTGCTTGATTCAAGGATAAATCTGACTGCCATTCTGGGGTCAAGAAGGAATCCTTTTTCCTAGCTTGTTGTAAAACTGGAAGTGCTTCAAACTGTTTTTTTTTTGCCTTCTTTTGGATCAACCGCAAAAAAACAAATGTGGGGAAGGTTGAGCTTGATGGTTGAGGTTGAGTCTCTTTTCAGCTATGTAACTATATGTAACTATGTAATGCTGTGGCATATATGAGCTTGTTCGTTTCTGTGATGGTGCAGAATGGGATTGTGGACAATGCTTCATTAACTGCAGCTAGTATGCTGTCTGGTGGCTGCTTTCCATTGATCTTTGCTAGTCTTGTCCGCAGGTTAAAGGGACACTCCAGGCACCTAGACCGCTTCTGCCCATTGGAGTGGTCTGGGTGCCAACTCCCACTACCCTTAACCCTGCAAGTGTAATTATTACAGTTTTCATAAACTGCAATATTTTACCTTGCAGGGTTAAATCTTCCTCTAGTGGCTGTCTTATCAGACAGCCACCTGAGGGATTTCCGTGTTCTTAGAATGTGAGTACCTCCAGCGTCTCCAAAATCCCCATAAAAAAAGCATTGAATAATGTGTGGCCATCGTTGCGCATGCCCATAAGGTCTCCCCTGATGTCGACGAGGGATGAGAGTAGGCGGAGCCTGACCAGCGCCGAGGAACAACGGCGCTGGACTCCGGTAAGTCACTGAAGGGGTTTTAACCCCTTCAGCAACTTGGGATGGGGGGTGGGAGGGAGAGGGGCACTACAGGGTCCTGCATTGCCAGGAAAACTAATGCTAGTTTTTCTAGGATCATTTCCATTTTATCTCTCTATCTCTCTATCTCTCAGCTGTTCCTAGAACTGATATATATATATATATATAAATATATATATATATATATATATATATATATATTTATATATATATATATATATATATATATATATAAATATATATACATGGCACAATGACTTATGGGGCTGGCATAGATTATTTTTATTTTTTTCAGGGATGCTTTGTATCCCCAGTCAGAACCTGCTTATTTGGCACTGTTGATCAAACCTTCAGGTTGCTAAAGTGTTTTAGATGTGAATTTTCTGTAAAAGTGCCTAATGAACATCTGTAGGGGTCGGAGCCTAGCAGCACATAAGAGCAGTCGCCATCTCTCACAGCTCCGAGTACCACCCACAAAACACTAGCTGCATCATAGCACTATCGGCAGATACAACCGCAGTGCACAGTACTGAATCTGTAGATGCCTTTTTTTTTTCTCGCCCCGGGCATGCAGTAGAGGCCTCAAGGACAGACACTTGAAGCCACCTGAGGATCCCCAGCGTGGAGTAACACTGGACTAGCAGAAATACTGTCCAATGTCCAGACAGCTGGAGAAATGGGGTGAAGGTCTCAAAAACCACCTACGAGCACTTCCTAGACACAGCACGACATTAGCCAGATACTGCAATCCTTAATACCAACGCCAGTTTTGGCCTCAAGGGAGACTTTACCCTCGCGGGAGCCATCACCCTCTCAGTCTTACAGCAGGGTCTCACCTCGGAGCCCTTCCCCGAAAAATCAAGGGACTGCACGCACGGCAGAGGCAACAGCCCCTGCAACAAAACAAGAAATACAAGACATGCTTACCAGTCTCCAACAAAATCTCAGGAAAATGTGGGAAGTGGAACTGGCGGTACTGACTACAGAGGTACATGTCATTACAGAGCGCACCCAAGTTACTGTGGAAGAGGTACTGGATTTAAAATAAGGTCTAAAAGTGCTGGGGGGAAAAGTACAGCAGCTGCAATCAGCGCAAACCGACACCTTTCAAAAAGTTAGCATATTGGATGACAGGGGACGGAGAGAAAACATAAAGATAGGAGGGGTCCTAAAATCAGTGGCCTCCCTCCTACCAGTGAGACAAGCCAAACATTTCACCTTCAATGGGATTTACAGAATCACTAAGTCACCACAGACCCCTGCCACTGCACCACAAAACATTATCCTTTGATGCCAAACGATATCGGACAAGATGGGACTGATAGCTGCTTTAAAAGGAAAGTCCTCATATGATTTTGAAGAATGCCAAATTTCCTTCTTCCAGGACTTAAGTAGATCTACCCTGCTTTGGCATAAATCTATGCAGCCCATCACAAAGCTTCTCCAAACAGGCCTGACCTACCGCTGGTCGACTCTAAGATCACTGTGGGTAACCAAGGATGGGAAATCATACAAAGCTCCTAAAGCTCTGGCTCTACTAGCAGCACTGGGCCTTTCCTCACAATGCACAACCAACCAGGGACTACCTCGCACTCACTCCTGGAATGTTGCCGAAATACCCACGTTTGTGCCCAGAAGAGAAAAGGGACCGACGACCTAAAACATTTACTATATTTAACCAGTTCACATTACAAGGTTTTTGTTTCTTTCACTATTCTCCTGCTTAAGTTTAATTTTTATTTTGCTGTTGATCCTCTGTTCCTACACGCACACGCGGAGAGGTAATAGAGCCTGACCTGCCCTGTGTCACTGAGACACTTACCTGGCCAATATACGGGCTCCGTTAGTACCACTCCCCTCCCCCCTCCGTCAATGTCCCATGGTACCAGGGTATAAAACACAATGGAGCGAGGGGTTCAGTTAACGGTCTTTGGGCCATATTTAGACAAGCATAGCAACTCGGTTAACCCCCACGCCCCAAACCATGCTCGTCGATAATTCATAGGCCACTCAATAGCTGCCTATATAACTAATCCACCTAGCTTTAAAAATGTACACTCCCAAGAACAATGTCTCCTTCACTAGGAGAAGTTTTAGTTATTGTTAGTAATTTCTTTTGTATATACGTTGCAGTGGCTAGCATAATGAAAATACGACTTGTTTTTAAGTACTGCCTTACCACGGCACACCGAGCCCACTTTATGGCACACACAACTTACATTTAATAGCCAGGATACAAGCGCCAGCCATACTATCGCAAGTCCATGAGCTCAAAACCCTGCAGATATTAAAGTTAAAAAATGCCACTACACCACACATAGTCTTCAATATTTAATCCATAAGATAGCCAAATCGATATAACAGTCTAGACCAACACATCAAAAATGTGCAAAATTTATGCCTGCCGTGCTTGAATATTGTCATGTTGTTCTTTACAATGCTGTTACCAGCACTTGCTGTTGTGGCAAAGTAATTATCGTTGAAACCTGCCAAAAATAAAGAATTATTTAAAAAAATTAAAAAAATAATGGACACCTGTACTCTCATGAATCCCATTATTAACATCACCTAACTATCCACGTCACAGGGTTTCCTGTCTGTCTTAATCTCTTTTCGACATGTAGTTCA